TAAAAGAAATAAAAGAAATAAAAGAAATAAAGAAAATAAAAGAAATAACGAAAATAAAAGAAATAACGAGGTTGAGGATCGATTACCCGTTTTGGCAACCTCTATAATGCGCGATCGTCATTCTCAATTTCTAAGTCATATTGTCGATCGTCGTTTCCCCGTAACAATATAATTTCAAGAATTTAAGCAATAAATTCAAAACCCAATCAATTATTTTCAATTCAAATAAAAATTATTATTATTATTTTATGAATCTAGACAACATATTTAAAATTAATTATTAAAACTATTATTTTTATTATTTTTAACTTAATTATTGTTTATATCTTAAGAAAAAAGTAATAATAGAAAACTAGTAATAGAAAGATAATTTATTTAAAAGAATTAATATAATATACTAAAAATTTTAAGGATATACAAATTAATATAATTTTGAAATTTATAAAATTATACAAAAAAGACAATAGTGATTTGTTTTGTAAAGGTCAAGATATTTATTCAATAAAATAAAAATTCAACTCTTATTAATTTTTAAATAAAATTAAAGGCTTTATATATATATTTAAGATATAATATTTTCATATATAATAAATATAAATTATATAAACTAATAAAAATATAAAAAAAATATTATATTTGTCAAAACAATTATTTGTATATATTAATATAGAAACAATATAAATATAAATATATAATAATAATAATTTATTAAAGAAATCTAAAAGCATATTATAAAATAATATAAAAATTCAATATTTTATATTATAATTCTAATTGTTTTCTTTTAAGGCTAAAGAAAAATACAATCTTTTATAATATTTTGATCAATTGTAAATCATTTTTATTTTAAAAATGTTTTTATATTATTATTAAAAAATTCTTATTCATAAAATAAATATAAAGTTGCTCAAAATATTATTATATTAATTATTTTGAACCCTTAATAAAAAATGGTTCTCTAGTCTTTTTTCAAATAATTAATTAAAATTACAAAAAAGCTTTACAATTTGAATTTGAGCTACAATGTTCTGAAGTAGCTATACTATTTGAAATTATATAGGTGTTTTGAAAATTCTTGAGAAAAATAATAATATACTATTATAAAAATATAAGTAAAAATATAATATAATAATAAATATGATATAGAATATTCAATCAAAGCTGATTACAGTAACCAAATTGGAGGAAGCCTAATTTTACAATTTTGTGTTATTATATCCAATGTTATAATACTATAACATACTATTTAAAGAAATTTTTTGTTTTAAAAAATTATGTTATTATATTCAATTTTTATTATAATGTTATTCTAAACAATGCTACTGTAACCAACTTTGACAGTATATTAAGAGATTTAATAACTGAAATTCAATATTTTAAATAGTATTTTTCGAAAATTTTTGAAACTAAAATATTCAAAGATATCTATTTCTATAGGACATCTAGATTATATAATACAAACATGTAATATCTAATATTTAAGACCAAAGTTAAATATGAAATAATTATTAGTAATTGTTAAAATATTAATCCTTCGTTGTCACAATGCCGCAAACACGTGACAATTATTTTTGACGTGTTCATTATCCAAAATATTACTGTAACATTATATGGTTGTTCAATGCCTTTACATTTATTCTTTGAAATATGCAATAAGAAATAATAATAATGATAAGGATGAATCATCTATGTGTAACTTCAGGATAAGTTATGTTAGTGGAATAATGTCCCGAATAAAAGGCGCAGTTTTATAAGCCGGTACAAATTTACACTTTGAAGATTAACCAATTGCATTTCTTCTTAACTTCCAAAAATCTACAGTCCACCACACCCACATGAATATATCGTGAAGAAATTGCGATACCTCGATTAAATTGCGTCGTAAAAAAAAAGGTCACACGAACGATATACGCAAGACTTTCGTAGATACCTCCAATATTCACCATTCAATTTAAAGACTCTGGTAGAGATGCCATCAAAATCTCAAAATTCAGAACTCTAAACATTGGACACTCGGCATAATTCATCATGTATTTTTGATACCCGTCGGTCTTTTTAATTTGCGAAAAATTCTTGATCATAAAATCCATCACCTCTATTTTCAACTCGGGATGCTTCCACGCATGCTTGCATAAGATCTCAGCTGCTGTTTCGATATTAAGTATGCCCAATATAAGCCTTCTGGATTTTAGCTTTAATCCATTGATCTTGTATTTCTCTGCTATGCTGAAGATATCATAGATCTCTTCTCTTGTTGATGCATATGCTTCTCCGGTGTATATGAATCGAAGCATTTGCAGGACGGTGTTGTAAGAGAAGTCGAGGATTCGAATTTCGTGTCGATTTCCAAAATGATATTCGTTCGCCGAGATGCAATTTTCACAATTCTCTTCAAAAAGGGTCCTAAAGTATTTTGATTTCTTAGAGAGTATCGCACTATTTGCGAATAATTTTTCTTCATCTTCACCAACTCTAAACATAACATCTGCAGTGTTGGAAAGACGCAATCCTTTCCTCCAGACGTTGCGTAAATTTGGTGGTGAGATTAGCTTTGCAATAAACTTCGAAATCAGGGGATCTTCGCTGACCCCGACTATAGGCATCTTCACACCTACTAATATTGTCTCCATCAAAGCAGATTTTTTGTATACTACATAGGTTCCTGAAATTGGAAATATTGCGGAAAACGAGGTAAGGGAATGTATCACGCTTTGGAAATTTATTAAAATTTGTCACCTACCCTCCCTATTACTACTGATCGGAATGATCTCAGTACCATTCAAATTCCTAGCATAAATCTTGTAGGTGCATCTCGTGAGTCTTGCCATGAATATATCAGCTTGAGAAGCGTTTGGATTGTGATATGGCTCCAGGTATAATGCACAATATTCGTGTAGCTGAAAATCAAAGAATCAGGAAATTGGTGTGGTAATCGAACCTCGGACAAAACTTCTTTTCTCAAATGCACCTTACCGGCTTAATGACAATATACCAAAACTGGTTCAGTGAGCAATCGTGCGCAAAGGGGGGACTGTAAGTTTCGTGACGAAGCAACGAAACACTCGAGACCTCAAATTCGTAGTGTGAGCGATTCTCCCTGTCAAAGTTAACCATCTTGCACGTCATGCAAAAGAATGAGAGTAAAGCGTGAAATAGAACGAGCAAGAAATTAGTTATTTAATGACAGTAAAATTATTCGTCTCGTGAATTCGCTGATAAAAGTCAATTTAAATATTCTGTCAAGTAGATAAAAAAAATGGAACTCATCAGATCACTGTGGGAATAATTTGCATTCTCGAATTATTTATATCCAGCTTTAGACATAACACTTTATTAAATGCACCTCATATTGTTTAAGATAAAATGATGTATTATTGTGTAAAATTACCATACTGTATTTTAAATATTCACGTGATCAACTCAAAAGCAATCGTCACGCGAAGCTTATTTCAACAATTATCTCTTCTAAAATTTTTACTATTTAGATAATTCCGGTTCTGGTAAAAGAAATGACTGAACGTTTTCGTGCAAATATTTTCGGATTTAAGGAATATTTAATTCTAGAGAATAGGAGAGATTAAATAATTATGGATGTATTTTACAATGATTCA